TCGAGACTCGTTAGTTTGAAATATTTCAAACGTTTATTAAATGATTTTAGTTCCTTTGCCATTCCGCTATGATAAGAAAGGTGCCAGACAAAACGTTTGAGTATGGATTCTATGCGATTTCTATGTACCATATAATAAGGGGTCCATACCTGACAACAGTATTCTAGACCAGATCTGATAAGCGCGTTAAATATGGAGATTTTAGTGGACGCCAATTTGAACTGTTTACAATTCCGCAACATAAAACCCAATAATTTAAAGCTTTTTGTTACTAAATGATTAATATGAGTATTGAAATGTAGCTTATTATCAATGTAAATTCCCAAATCTTGTACAACTTCTGCCTCTGTTAATGTGCTGTTACATAACTTGTATCAATTAAAATAGTTTTTTTTAACATGAAAAATGAATAAAGTTGCATTTTTTTTAATTCAAAGATAGTTTGTTCTTAATACACTGTAAGCGACGCACTACTTATATATAATTTATTGTATATTTTTATGTCATGTTCCTCTTAAGATGTTCTTGTTTTGCCCTATTGTTTAGAATTGTATGTATACCTGTATTACGCACCTACGTATGATTTTTATTAAAGGTACAGGTATGTGCAATGACCCGCCGTACTGTCCGTATGCAAGCCTCCCCACCTAATTGCTTAGTAGCTTCCCACCAACCAACGCGAACGCGGCTTGTTGCACGTCCTAGTTTTAAACTACGCAATATCTTTTATTTTCATCCCTTATAATCTGATCCTTCGATCCAAATCTACACCAGTGTACAGTGAAGTACAATCATGTTTGTAACACCTCCCCGCGATAAACTCACAATAAAAGAACGCAATAAGTTGTGCGACAGGTTAGATAGTGCTAGTGAACATGTGCTCGGCTCAAGCCGCATGGTAGTACCGAGCCCCGCTAAACCCACGGCTCGCAGTGATATTGTTCATGACCGTAAAATGTCTACATCGCGTCATACTATCAAGAATGAATCGGTTGTTACCAAAGAATCTACGTCGTTAACTCGACGCAAGCAACTGGAGCTGGAAGCTGCCAACGCTAAAGCTAAAATACAGATGGAGCTGATCGACAAAAAGCAGGAAGTCGATTTGGCTATGCTTGAAGAAGACGATGGTGTCGCGTCTAGATGTCCATCCCGAATAAGCAGGACTAGCAGCCGGAGGAAGGCGCAGTCCCATGTGGAACAGTGGTTAGAGCAGAGCAACATACAGCCGACAGGAATTGATGTTCCAGAGGCGGCAGCAACGACGAACGAGGCAGGGCTGGCAGCTAATGTTAAGGATATAAGCCATGTTCCTGCTCCCGAGATGCCCGTCGATAGTATCTTGCAGCTAGCTCACACATTGAAGGACATCATGACTACCTCGTCTACGCAGCAGGATGACCGCCTGTTGACCCGGTTGTCCACACCACGAGAGTTACCATCATACAGTGGTGACCCTATAGAATGGTTGCATTTCAAAAATGCTTATATAGAATCCACTAATACATGCCGGTTTAGTGATTCTGAAAATTTGTGGAGACTACGTCGAGCCCTGAAAGGTGACGCCAAGGAAGCCGTCACTGACTTATTGATCGGCAACACATCACCAGAATTTGTAATCCAGTCATTAGAGATGAGGTTTGGGCGCCCTGATGTCATCATACAGCACCTTACTTCACAAATGAGAAAGTTAAGTCCATTACCTACTTCTTATCATCATGACCTAATTCATTTTTCTGTTAAAATAAATAACTGCATTGCAACGTTACTTGCACTCAATCAATTAGATTATTTACGCAGTCCAGAATTATTATCTGCAATTATATCCAAGTTGCCCAGTATTCTTATAACTAAATGGACAGAATATGCTTACAAAAGACTATCAAGTGATGTACCTAAGTTACAGTTATTGGCTACATTTTTAAAGCAGGAAGCTGAGATGGTGATCGTTGTGGGAGTATCACAGTATAAAAAATCAGAGTCCGTACCCCACAAAAAGATTGATGACAGATCACGATACAGTCGACCTATTTTTACCACTACATCGAAACCAGATAGTATATTCTGTAACTTTTGTAACAAGTCCGCTCATTTCCTAACCGATTGCAGAGTATTCAAGCGAGCTATGAGAAAGGACCGGTGGAGATATGCTAAGATGCAAGGCTTATGTTATAATTGTTTATCTAGTAAACATGATAAAACCGTATGCACGGCACCTATGTGCGGTATTGATAACTGTGGACTCGCGCACCACCCCTTACTTCATTATAAAAAGCCTACTACGTCACGTGAGAAGCCGACTGTCGAGGCACAATCATCAACATCGGCCGCCGACGCAGATAACACGATCGTGGCGCATGTGGCCGCGGCGCCGGCGCACGAGCCGCGCTCGTCCACCCCCGTCTGTCGACAGCGTAGTGATGTGTTACTCAAAGTGATAAAAGTGAATCTCAGTGGACCCAATGGTAATGTATGTACCTATGCATTATTAGACGACGGTGCATCCATTTCTATGATCGACAGAGAGTTAGTTACTCAGTTAGGTATAAAAAGTGTAGATTGTAGCTCAATAAAATTCATTGATGCATTTGGTATTGAAATATTTCAGTCAGACGCTCCAAAAATATGTACAAAAATATCTGGATTTGATAATGTTCAATATAATATAACTTTGCGCCAAGTAAATAAATTAAAATTGCCTCAACAAAATTTATCTGTCATAAATAATATTAATTGTGAACACTTGTTACCCGTAAAAAATTATGTTTGTAAACAATGTGTAGTGCCTCGCTTACTGATCGGAGAAGATAATTATTTTTTGCTTGCTCCTTTAGAGATGTTGCATGGAAATGAAAATGAACCTTATGCGACTCGATGTCGATTAGGTTGGTCCATACACGGCTGTTTTGGTCGCACTCACTCGCGTTCGAATGGTCACTCATTCCATCTCACTCACACCGAGTCACAGGTAAGCGATATTAGCAAATTAAATAGTTTAGTTAAGCAGTCATTCGATATAGATGCAATAGGAATTTCGACCTTAAGACGTGAGAATACGGCACATTTAAGAGCTCTTCGTATATTAGACGACACGGCACGTAATGTAGGTAATCGATGGGAAGTTGGTTTACCGTTTGTTAAAGATAATTTTATTATGCCTGATAGTTATGAGTATGCACGAGAGAGATTACAGACTGCGCCTACGCATATAAGTATAGGAGGGAGATAGACAAGCTGTTCCAGCACGGCTACGCTCGAGAACTTAATGATTCTGAACTCTCAGCTAGTCACATTTGGTACTTGTCACACTTTGGGGTTCAAAATCCAAATAAACCGGACAAGTTACGCGTAGTATTTGATGGTGCAGGTAAAGTACAGGGTATGTGTCTCAATGACTTTCTACTCACTGGCCCTGACCTATATAATTCATTATTAGGTATCATGTTACGTTTTCGTGAACATAAGTTTGTTATAATAGGAGACATAAAGGATATGTTCCTTCAAATTAAAATTCGTCCTGAAGACCAGCACGTATTACGTTTTCTGTGGCAGCCAGATGGAAAAACGGAACCGAAGGTTTGTGTAATGCAAAGCTTGGTATTTGGTGCTACTAGTTCACCATTTATTGCCCAGTATGTAAAAAATAAAAATGCAATGAAATATCAGGATCAGTATCCTGAAGCTGTGGACGTCATTGTAAATAATCACTACATGGACGTTTGTTTACACTCTTGTGATAGTGAAAGTAAGGCTATTCAATTATTGCGCGAAATAACATATATACAGAGTAAGGCTGGGTTTGAAATCACACGCTGGTCGAGCAATAGTAAATACGTTTTACAGAACGTGCCGCTAGAGGCGCTTGCGCCGACTGCAGTCGAGTTCAAACTCGGAGCTACGAACACAAGTGAGCGCACTTTGGGTTTGATATGGCATCCGAGCGACGACACGTTCGGATTTAAAATATCTTTAGATCGCATACCGCAAAACATTTTAGACGGGACAGAACCACCCACTAAAGCTAAAATGTTGAGTATTATTATGTCGGTATACGATTTACATGGCTTTCTTTCTCCTTTTATTATTAAAGGGAAAATTATTTTCCAGTATGTACATCGCAGTGGAGTTGAGTGGAATTGCCGCATCCATACCGACGAACATGCACGGTGGATCCATTGGTTATGCGATTTACGGCAGCTGCACTCGCTACGCATTCCACGGTGCTACGCTAATACAGGCGACTGGACACGTTGTTATGAAAGCGAGCAATGTATTAATATTAGTACGAATGAGTTAGACAATTGTTATATTAAAGAGACACAATTGCATGTTTTTTGTGATGCTTCTATAAAGGCGTACGCAGCTGTTATGTACTGGCGATTTATTCGTTCAGACGGTTATGTACTTATTTGTTTTGTGTCTAGTAAAAGCAGGGTGACTCCCCTGCGACCTGTGTCTGTTCCTAGGCTGGAACTGCAGGGTGCGCTTCTCGGAGCGCGCCTCGCTACCACTATATGTAACGATCATAAACATGTTCAGCCTACAAAAAGGTATTTTTGGACTGATTCCAGTACAGTATTGCAGTGGTTACGCAGTGATCCACGTGACTACAAGCCTTACGTTGCACATCGTCTAGGTGAACTGGATGAGTTGACCAAGTCCTGCGAGTGGCGCCATGTACCGTCTGGCCTTAACGTGGCAGACGTAGCCACCAGAGAGGACGCCTCTCAACTTGCATATTCTGACGTTTGGTTTCAAGGTCCATCGTACTTACGCCGCCCGGAGGACGAGTGGCCCGTAGACCGCAAATTTAGTAAACAGTCAGAAGATGCAATGTGTGAGATACGGTCGGTACATGCAGTCACGAGACCAGCTCAGATTTATCTTTACCAAATGAAGATAATATCTCGAGATGGATCGTTCTCGTGCGTGCCACCGCAAGAGTATTGTTATTTATTAGAAGATGTCAACGTAAAGACATACAACTTGATACTCATTTAATGAAGAAGGCAGAACAGCTTCTCATTAAAAAGTGTCAACAGGATTCTTTCTCTTCCGAATTAACCTTATTAAAACAAGGTAAGTCGTTACCACCTACAAGTCGTCTGTTACAATTAACGCCTTATATTGACGACTCGGTTATTTTACGGTCTGAAGGTCGTATCGACAGAGTAGTAGGTGTTGAACACGCTACTCGAAGGCCCACCATTTTAGACGGTAAGCACAGAATAACACGCTTATTAGTTGAGCACTATCACCGACTAGCACTTCATGGAGCCAATGAACTTGTCGTGAACGAATTGAGGCAGCAGTTTTGGATTTTAAAGCTTAGACCAACTGTGCGCTCAATAGCTTCGCGTTGTTTATTCTGTCGTTACAGACGCGCGGATCCACAGCCACAACGTATGGCTGACCTTCCAGCTGAAAGGATGCAACATAATAGGCGTCCATTCAGCTATTCAGGCGTGGATTTCTTCGGCCCTCTCGAGGTCACTGTCGGTCGTCAGCGACATAAACGATATGGCATGTTATTTACTTGCCTCACTGTTAGAGCAATTCATATTGAGCTGACAGTGGATCTCTCGACTGACTCTGTTATAATGGCCCTTAGACGCATGGCATCTCGACGAGGCATGCCAACTGTCATAGTTTCTGACAACGGCACTAATCTGAGAGGGGCTGACAACGGATTGAAACGGAGCTTGGCAGATCTCAACAGCGATGCCTTGCGTGACGATGGAACCATACGCGGAATCGAATGGAAATTCATTCCTCCTGGAGCTCCCGAGATGGGCGGCTCATGGGAACGGATGATCCGTACAGTAAAAACTGCATTAAGAGTAATCTTAAAAGAGCGCGCCCCACATCCCGACACTTTAGCTACTTTATTAGCGGAAGTGGAGGGACTAGTAAATAGTCGTCCAATCACACACGTGTCATCTGATCTTAATTATCCGGAAGCGTTGACACCTAATCATTTTTTGATAGGTACTTCCTCAACTAGTCCATGTTTCGGCAAGTACAATGACACTGATCTGCAATTAAGAAAACGTTGGCGAGTGGCACAACGGTTGGCGGATATGTTCTGGGCCCGTTGGCTAAAAGAATATTTACCAAGCTTGGTCCCTCGTCAAAAATGGACACAAGAATGTAGGTGTTTACAAGTAGGTGATTACGTCATTATTATAGAACCTAATCTAGATCGTAACTGCTGGCGACATGGTATAGTGAGTGCGACCCACGCAGGCGCGGACGGGCGAGTTCGTGTTGTTGATGTGCGTACACGTACGGGTTTGATTCGCCGGCCGGTTACACGCGTCGCTGTACTATCCCCACGGGAGGATAGTGCTAACCAAGTTAGCACTAAGGAGGCAGTGTAAGCGACGCACTACTTATATATAATTTATTGTATATTTTTATGTCATGTTCCTCTTAAGATGTTCTTGTTTTGCCCTATTGTTTAGAATTGTATGTATACCTGTATTACGCACCTACGTATGATTTTTATTAAAGGTACAGGTATGTGCAATGACCCGCCGTACTGTCCGTATGCAAGCCTCCCCACCTAATTGCTTAGTAGCTTCCCACCAACCAACGCGAACGCGGCTTGTTGCACGTCCTAGTTTTAAACTACGCAATATCTTTTATTTTCATCCCTTATATACACCATGTGGAGAATCTGTCTAAGTCTTTTTGTAGTTCGTCACAGTCAGATGAATTATTAATAATTTTCATAATTTTAAAGTCATCAGCATATAAATAAATGTGTGAATTTGTGAAACAATCCGCGACATCATTAATGAAGAGATTAAATAAGATAGGGGAGATGTGGGATCCCTGGGGGACTCCTGAGGATGCTATATACTCCTCTGAGGTAAATCCATTTACCACTACTCGAGATTTACGATTGGTGAGGTACGATGAACACCAATCAAGAAAATTTCCGGAAAACCCATAAGCGGATAATTTTTTTACCAGAATGTCGTGGTTTACGGTGTCGTAAGCCGTGCTGAAATCAGTATAGATGACGTCTGCAGATGCACGAGAGTCAACAGCGTTCACCACATCCGACACAAAGCATGCAAGATTTGTTAATATAGAACGGGCCTTAATAAACCCATGTTGCTGACGCAGGATGACGTTTTTTACATGCCAGGAGATTATAGGGCCGATCAGGGACTCAAACACCTTTCCAAAGATAGGTAAAATGGATATGGGTCTATAATTTTTTATATCAGATTTAACACCAGACTTGAAAATAGGAATGATTAGAGCCTCTTTCCATATTGTAGGGAAAATACCGGTTGCAAGAGACTTATTGAAAATTACGGAGAGGGGATAAGCTAAAACTGTAGCACATTTTGTAACAAACAACGAAGGTATGCCATCACTGCCGGCTCCTTTGCGATGATCAAGTCTTTTTAGTACGCGTTTCAGGTCTAATTCAGAAAAAGAATGGAGTTTAGGCAATTGTTATTGTGATCTAAGTATTGGGGTGGGTCGTAATTATTTGTTTTGTCATTTTGAGGTTTATAAACAGAAGAAAAATTAGAGGCAAACGAGTTACAAATATCAATACCATTATTTGCAATAATATTATTAAAGTACATTTTGGATGGGTATGAACTTTTAGAATCACGTTTTTGTTTTAAAAAAGACCAAAATAATTTAGGATTATTTTTAATGGACGATTCTATTCCAGACAAATAGTTTTTATAACACGAGTTCGAATATCTATAACAACGTTCTTTTAAAATCTGATCAGATATTTTATCTAGTGGGTTTTTATATTTTATACATAGTAAGCGGTATTTATTTTTTTCTTTTTGAATAAGTACACTGTTATACCATATTGGATATTTTTGTGATTTAGGTGCATATTTGGGAACATATTGCCGGATAGTGTAATTCAAAATCGCATATAATCTCCCAACCATCTGATTTACATTGTCACAATCTGACAGCTGCTCTGTCCAACATATTTTGAATAAATAATCAATTATTTGCACATAGTTAGCTTTATGAAATTTAAATCTAATGCTATTGTTAGCGCTTAAATAATCCGGCCTGATGTACATGACAATGCAAGCTCCAGAGGTGGATGATATTGATCTATAATATTTAATGGTGAGGTACACTTTTATACGTTCTCTACCGGTACATTAGTTAGGACAAGATAGAGTATTCCATTTTTGTGATTTAAAATATTATTATATTGATTTAAATTATTGTATGAAATAAAGTCCAACAACATATACGAAAACAGACTGTGGCTTTTGGAGGAGCCATGCAGACGACTATTGGGCTTTCCAGACCATTCAATATTACTTAAATTAATATTGAATGGTCTGGTCAGTACCCTGTAATTTCACTGCCATTTCTGACCATTTAAAATAAACTCGAAAGGTATAAGATATTTGTTTGATACTATAATTTGGTATCTACTCATATTTTATAGTGTTGGTCATTATTATTAAACTTGTGTAAGTATAAAATGGCATACAAAAAATTGTTTTTGCTACAATCTATATGGGTAAGGTATAAGTTGAATAGTAAATCTTAGAGCTCTTTATTTCTCCCAGTCTTGTGAAAGCCCGTCTTCTCTCGGGCATGAAAGCTGTTTTAAATATTGCGGCCCGATTTACTCCAACTAAAGCCTTCTTACACATACATTACTAACCTTACATGAAAATTACTTCTGGGAAATACAATATTTTAGAATGGGAAGTATTTTGTTACGCATTATAAAATACACACGATTAATATATTTGTCTATGCTATTTCAATAAGTCTTAACAGTAGATACTTACCTATATATTTTTCTTTCGCAAGACTTTTTAAGCAGTTTTGGTTACCCCGAGTCTGCTTAATAGGACTGATACGTATATTGTGTCAACAAAAGTATCAGCGATGAGGCTATAATGATATGATTATTTATTACTCAATTATTGTTATTATTTTCTATCTATCCACTTATCTTTAATATAGGCACAGGGAGAGATAATCATAACTTTTTCCTGTGTACTCGTTCTGATAACTCTGGATTCACTTCTTGTGTTAAAGTCTTATGGACAACAGTAACATCGAATATTGACTATAGTACTTCAACAAAGCGTTACAAAGCTTTACTATTTTTGTACCACTTTAAAAATTAAATTTATTCATCGAAAATAGCTAGTCTCAAAATAAACATCTGTAATTATTTATCCATTACAAAGATACTTAAGATCTTTTTCGACTGTTTTATTCTATATATGTTTACTGTGTAAGAACACTAAATTACTGTAGATTTAACTGTTGATATTACATTTAATAGAGGTAAAATTTGGGATATTACCCAGAAACAGTCAATGTAAATATAATATTGTAGTATTCAACTGCACAATATTTTATATAAATAATATTATATAAATAATAATCTATATAATATTTACAACGACAGCGACGAGCAGACAAATCTAAACAACTGAAATTAAAAATGTCGAATTTAAAAATATCAAAAGAGACGAAAATTCAATTGTCGACGAATTATTTAAAGAAAGGTCAAGATTGAGACAAAATTAGCTGTTTAAGTAAATTGAACGCATATTCTCTTTAAAGAAAATAAAATGTAGTTGTTGTTAAAACATTTTTTTAAAACATGCAAAATAAATTTTATTTTGTTCTTCATTAATTAACTTCATGAATAATATTTGGTACACTAGTAATCATATAGGACTAAGGAAACTGAACCCTATGGAATTGCATAGTTTTGTTATAAACCTTGTTTCACTTCTATCATTGGACTACCTCATGAATATTAAATTTCACTTTGTACCCAGGATAAAGCTCTTGAAGTTGAAATTTGAAAAGTTCTTGAAAAATGTTTCACAAATATTGAAATAGAAATACCGATTTAATAAAATCAGTAAGTTCAATGCTTATAGCCATAAAGTAGAATTAGAATTATTAATACTAAAAACTGTTTGGTAAAAACAACATACCTTTATATTTTCTTGGTTTCTAATATTAGTTGAATTTTTGCTTATAACAGGAATTGATATGTAAACCTTGAGTATATTTCACTTACTTGCTTAATGGTCTGGCTAATTTACATATGTCATATGTCAACTAATAGATATATTTATTACATAATCGGCTTACTTCATCTCATGTGTAACGTATGCAAAATTTCTGTCCAACTGAAGATCGTAAGGAGTGTTTTTTTTCTGGGGTTGTACATATAGAGTAGGTAATATTACTAATTTCTATTTAGCTCACTTCTCAAATACCCTATAATCTATTAAAATTACTTCAGTACTATTATAATTTTGAAAGTGTAATAACTGTATATTGTAAAATGTATCTTAATTATATTAACAAATTTCGTAGATAATTATCATGAATGGTGATCTATAGACTATACAGAGTTGTGTAGTTGATTAATGTTAATAATGATTTTACATTATTAAAATAGGATTAAGGACAAATTCAACATATAGCTAAATAAATTGAACAGAACAAAACAGGGAAAACCTCTCTGAAAATAATAAGGGTTAATTAATACTTGTTTTTATCTGCTTAACAGGTTGTTTTGATGGTTTGTTTTACATCGAAATAGAATTGTAATAATAATTACAAGTAGGTACTTATATAAGTTCAATTCAATGTTTATTTAATTATAATTAAGAATTTATAACTAACGATTATTATATTATATAATATTTCGAAATAAGAATAATCAAATAACCATTCGACTAAACGTAATTATAGCTCCATAAATATTTTACATGTTATAAATGTACTAAAACAATTACTACAGCTTATATTAACGATTATGGCTAAAAGTAAATGATTAAAAAGCTTTCATTGATATCTCATCTACAATAACATATTGGAGTAAACAGTGTAAAAACCAGATAAATTTATTTGAGCCAGTTGGAATTCTTCATCAACACGTTTAGGGACATACCAACACCAATTTAATATAAAAGGCGTCGAATTGACGCCTACAAAGGGCGATTCGGACGGTTGTGCGTTGAGGCGAAAACAAATTAATTGCTATCGGTTACGTTCAGTGTTGTAATTGCTTTGTACTCGCGCGGGCCAATCGATCAAGTGAGAAAAATTAATTGAAATGCCTCACGAACCCATAGAGAACCAATAAAATGGCACGGTCATTTCTTTCGAAGCGATTTAATAAAATATATTCTTTATATATTAAGGTCTTCATGATACTCATTTTTTTACAAAAAAATAATATTCTAAACCTATAGTACAAGCTTACATAGTGGGTGCTTACATAGTAGCTTTTTGTGATACCTCTATAAATTAAGCATTTATTTGTTCATGACTGATTCAGAAAAAATAATTTCTTGCTAAGGAAATATCTGCTTTGTAT